AGACTTAGCTCCCCGGGGCACCATGGGGACGGCTGGAAGAGTCCGACTTCAGACCGCGCGCCGGGGAACAGCCCCGCCGACCGCGCACCAGGCACCGGCACCGCCGACCGCGTACCAGCACTACCACGCGCTGGCCAACAGCACCGCCGGCTGTGCGCCGGGTACCGGCATCAATGCCACATGCTGGGCAACTGCACGCCAACCCCACACCGGGTACAGGCACCACCACGCGCCGGGTGACAGCGCAGCTGCCTGCACGTGGGGTAAGAGCATGGCGGACTGCACACGGGGGACAGCCCTGGGTCGCCATTCAGTCTCCTGAGCGTGACGACCACGCTGAGGTCACAGAATGCCGGCTCCCGGGTGCTCCGAGGTGGAGTAGCACAGCGTTGGTGACCAGCTCGCAGTCAGAGAACACGCTCACAGAGAAAGCACGCGCTCTCAGTGGGGGAGCTGGCAGGTCCGTGTCAAGGGCGATAGGTGTTTCCCGTTGGATTCTTTCAACTCCTCCAGTGGGAAAACCTCGAAGCCCAGAGTTGAAGACGGCGAGCCTGCCTCACCGTGCGTGCTGGAAGGAGCCCGGGAGAGGCTTGCCCGCTGTGCGCAAAGGCAGCGTGGGAGTGGCAGGGAGCCCGGCCGACAGCCTGGCCTGGGTGCCTCTGGCACTGCTGAGCCTGGAAGCATGCCGACACAGAACCTATGGAGTACCCAGCACGTGCTGCAACCTCTGCCGCACACCTGTGGCTCCCATCCAGCCCACGCCAGGGTTTCAACCTCGATACCTGGCCCCCCAGCGAGGCGGTGTGCTGAGGGGCAACCCGGCTTCTACCAGCCCCCAGACACCAAGAGCATCCTCCCTCCAAGCGGTAACCATGCAGATGTCTCCGGGCACTGCCGATGTCTGCTGTGGAGCAGAAGCCAACCTGGGTGCAAGCCCTGAGCTGGGAAGCGGGACCAGGGCCTCCCAGGAAGATGTGTTCTCGGAGGCTGGTGCTCCTAGAGGGCTGTGACAGTGACAGTAACTGAGGCGTTCGCCCCAGCTCTACAAATGCTTTCTTAAAATCATAGGCGTGCCTCTGCCCGGGAATTGGGTCTCAGGATGGACCGGAAGCCTCGCGCCTCGCTCCTAACATAGAGCAAGATGTGCCATTCCCGCCCGCAGGGTGAGCCAGCGTCTGACCTGGACCACCCTGCTGAGTGAGCCCAGAGCATGGCCAGGACCTGCCGAGATCCGAGGTCACGCACCTTGTCCCCGGACGCCAGGCAGCTCCCGTTGGGGCTCCAGCTGAGGACGGTGATGTCGGCGGTGTGCGTTGGGGGCACCGTGTGCTGCTCCCTGTCCTGCTTGTTGAACGCCGTCACTTCTCCAGCCTCCCAGCCGATGGCGAGAACCAGGCGTGTCGGGTGCCAGCACAGGCAGGTGACCCGGAAGGGCCTCTCGATGTGAGTGTCAGACACAGGCTCACCCTGTGTGAGAAGGGTAGGACCCTGTGTTACAGACTGGCTGGCCCCTGGACTTGACGTCAGCTGGAGGACATCAAGAGCAGCCACCCAGGGAACCAGCAGTTAGTGTAATGGCTATGTCGCTGGACTCCCACGTAGTCAACCGCGGTTCGCGTCCCAGACCTGGTGGCTTAAAACTCACGCCGGGCGCGTGTGCGTGCATGCCCAAGATCCCGAGAGGAGAATGGAGGAGAAGGGATTGCAGCGTGACCATCCCCCCTGGAGCGTGATTTCTCGCTGTCTCGCTGTCTCTCTCTGTCTGGTGAGCGTACGCACCCTATAGCGAAAGCCTCTCAAAAAAAAAAAAGAGCAGCCACCCAGATGTCCTGGGCCTGCCCCATGGCCTGGCACTCAAAGGAGCTGGGGCCCAAGCGGCTGGGGTGCACGTGGTGTGAGTCTGGCGGAGCAGGGACAGCGGTGCACCGTGGCCTGCAGGGGCGCTCTCTGCTCTCCCTGTCGATGCGGAGCGCACACGCCTGCAGACGGAAGACTCAGAAGCCCTTGCCACGCTCTGCTCTTTTCTTTTCCATTTTCAGAATTTGCCACAGGGCACGTTTCCAGAGAAGGGTGAGAAATGGTCCCCGAGGGGACGGCCACATCACAGCCCCTTCTCCATTCTCCTGGCAAGGTTCTGGGCACATGACACACGAGTCCGGCCCAGCGTCAAGCTGCCCGGCGTGGGAGTCAAACCGCTGGCCACACGGGACCCAGCCTCCCTAACCACCTCACTGACTGCCGGCCAGGTGCTTTAATGTTCAAAAACACACACGACTGGCCCCCAGCCGAGCGCCCGAAGCAGGTGAGCGGCCGTGAGTGCCACTGCTGAGCTCCAGCTCACAGCGCCCGCCATGGCCAGCACGTACCTTCACGCACACGGCCCGGTTCTAACAAACAGGAAGGAGGGGTGTCTGTCACCGAGACTCCCCGATGTCTCTGGAGGCTGCTTTCGGAAGGGTACTAGGAGTGACTGCCGTCTGCTCCTCTCACGAGCACACAGCGGGTCCCGCAGGCCGGCCGGCAGCCCAGGCCTGCGCTTGTGTCCTCCGCGCGGCCTGGCCGAGAACCCGCTCAGTGCCCCCCAGCGTTCCAGCAGTCGTGGGCCCTCCCCTGCCCCACTCCCGCATCATGGCTGTCTGAAAAGCCATCATTTGGAGAGCCAAAGTCTCCTTTGTGCCCATGGGAGTCACGGAAAGTTCTGTGTTGACCTGTTTCTAATAAATAGCATGTTTTAAGTTTTCTGGATTTTGAAATTTCGTATATAATTCTGGAACTTGATGTTTGTGCTCGGAAGATCCCACTTACAACACACACGGGGGTTCTTGGGCTCATGCGAGGGAGGACCTGCTCCAGACAGGCCGAGCAAAGCCGGGCTTGGTGTGGGCGGCCGTGGTGTGGAGGGACCACAGTGGGGGGCCACGATGTGGGGGAGACTCTGGTGTGTGGGGGGAGACAGCGGTGCTGGGGGGACTGGGGTAGGGGTGGGACCGTGGTGCTGTGGGGGCCGCGGTGCAGGGTGGGGGACCGTGGTGCACAGCCACGTGGCCGCACCAGGCCGGGCAGCACCTGTGTGTGCGTGTGCACGTGTGTCTGGACACGTCGTTGACCACGGGAGACTTCCTCTGAGCGCCTTGAACTCACAAAGCTCCACCCCACTCTCTGTACCCTGACCCCCACCCCCGGGGCGGCTCATGGGCATTACTGCGCGTTCTTCCTCAGAGACCCAGAGCGGAGCCAGCGCAGCCTCTTCCTCTCTCTGCCTGTTTCCTCTCACATGTACGAGGACAAAACACAAACATGGGCCACATAGGACCAGCAGTTGGCGTAATGGCTACGTTGTTGGACTCCCATGTAGTCGACTGCGGTTCAAGTCCCAAACTCGGTGGCTTAAACTCGCGCCGTGCACAAGTGCGCGTGTGCCCAAGATTCCGAGAGGAGAATGGAAGAGAAGGGATTGCGGCATGACCATCCCCACTGGGGGGGGATTTCTCACTTTGTCTCACTTTGTCTCTCTCCGTCTTTCTGGCGAGTGCACGCGCCCTAGAGCAAAAACCTCTCAAAAATACCCAGAAACACGGGCCGCAGCTCCACCGCCTCCCGAACACTCACCTGTTCCAGATATATGTCCACGCTGCCGCCCGAGGCGGGGCTAATCGAGGCGACGGCCAGGAACGGGTGCACGGGGTGCCAGCCAATGTGGGACGGCGACCCCACCGAGTCTGGAGCTTCTATGCGGTGGTCAAAATAGAGGGCCATGACGAGCACACCCTGGCCAGGGCCGAGACTGCACAGGTGGTTCCGAACACGGCAGAGACGGCCACGGCGTGGACCTGAGGAGAAGAGCACCACCACCCTCGCTGGGCACGCCTGGGCCGACGCAGGGCTGCGGGCAAACGCCTGCGCAGGGAAGGTCTGATGGCAGCTGGGGCTAGACCCGGGGTGACCCATGCCCAACGCGAAGAGCAAACCCAGTCACCAAGAGGGCTGCAAAGAGCCCGGCCCGGCCACACCGCACCCTGTGGCGTTCCGACCCCCCACCCCCACCCGGGCAGCTCAAGCTCCAGGGCACGTCGCAAGTAAACCCCCAAAGAAGACAGACACCCACAGATGCGCCAGAGAGCAGAGTGGGACAGCCAGGGCCTGGTTTCTGGGAAGACGTACACCCGAGACGGGTGGGGGGCAGGCGGGACCCCTCCATGGAAGCCAGGCCTGCGAGGCCGCGGCCGTTACAGGGTGCCAGCCAGCGTCGGGGCCGGTCTCCTCCTTGCCCTCCCCTCTCTCTTCCTTTCGGACCTGGGGAGGGAATGTGTACGGTGCCTTCTCTGGAGGGACAGGACGGTGAGAGAGATGGCAGCTGGACTAGTGTCCAGTCTGGAGAAGCGGACTGGCACAGGGAGCAGGTGTGGGCTGCTCGGCCATCGTTCCGATGACCCGGCTTCACGCCGAGATGAGGGCTCCACCAGAGAAACAGAAAACGTGTGTTGGCGAACGCTACAGTAACTGGGACGTGGGCCCACGGGTGGGGATGGAACTGGTGTGGCTGTCCCAGGTTAGTCTGGCAAGTCCCTAGGGTCGGCAGGTGGCGCAGTGGTTAAGGGTGCTGGACTCTCGGGACCAGGAGTTAGCATAATGGCTATGTCACTGGACTCCCATGTAGTCAACCGCGGTTCGCATCCCGGACCCGGTGGCTAAAACTCACACCACGCACGTGTGCGTGCGTGCCCAAGATCTCGAGAGGAGAATGGAGGAGAAAGGATTGTGGTGTGGCCATCCCCCCTGGGGGGCTGATTTCTCGCTTTCTGTCTCTCTCTGACTTTCTGGAGAGTGCACACGCCCTATAGCAAAAAAACCTCTTTCTCAAAAAAAAAAATAAAATAAAATAAAAAAAGAATTAAAAATATAAAGGGCACTGGATTCCCACACAGCCAACTGCAGTTCAAGTCCCAGGCCAGGGGGCTTGCTTTCTCCCCTGACTCCAGGCCTTCTCTGGTCAAATTAAAATGGATAAAGTTAAAATTATTTGAAAAAAGGAATCTTAAAAAAAAAAAGTTTGGCAAGTCCTCAAAAAGAATCACACAGAACTGCCACTGGATCCAGCGATTCCACTTCTGGGTGTACCCAAGAGCAGAGAGCAGGCCCGAACAGGCGTGTGTCCACAGGCGAGCACCGCTGAGCCTGCACAGCGGAGACATCCGAGCATCTGCTGGCAGATGATGGGTACATGGCACGTGCTCTCTCTAGCCGTGAAGGGCGGGAAAGGAACAAGAGTGTGTACTTCAGGGAACCAGCAGTTAGCGTAATGGCTATGTCGCTGGACTCTCGCGTAGTCGACTGCGGTTCGCATCCTGGACCCGGTGGCTTAAAACTCACGCTGGGCGCGTGTGCTTGCGTGCTCAAGATCCCAAGAGGAGAATGGAGGAGAAGGGATTGCGGCGTGACCATCCCCCCTGGGGGGTGATTTCTCACTTTCTGTCTCTATGTCTCTCTGTCTGTCTGGCGAGCACACGCGCCCTATAGCAAAAACCTCTCTGGAAAAAAAGAGTGTGTATTTCAGGCTGTTGCTCAGGCTGGCTTTGAACCTGTGTTCCAGAAATGGAAGGAAATTCTAGTATATGCTGTAACATGGATGAACTGCCACGCCAGCGAAATGAGCCGGTCACGAAAGCACGGGTCACATGTGACTCCCTTCTACGAGACTCCCAGGTAGTCATGAGGGCGAAGAGAACGCTGCGGCTAGCCACCATGGCGTCGCGGTTACGTACCTGGATTCCCACAAGGCTGACTGCGGTTCGAAGCCTGGACCTGGTGGCTATAAACTCACACAGGGCACATGTGCGTGCGTGCCCAAGATCCCAGGAGGAGAAGGGATTGCGGTGGGGCCATCCCCCATGGGAGGTGATTTCTCACTTTCCCTCTCACTGTGTCTGTCTGTCTTTCTCTCTCTCTGGTGAGTGCATGCACCCTAAAGAAGAAAAATTTAAAAAAAAAAGTAATAATAAAATTAAATCATTCTTGGGAACCAGCAGTTAGCGTAATGGCTATGTCGCTGGACTCCCACGTAGTCGACCGCGGTTCGTGTCCCGGACCCGGTGGCTTAAAACTCACGCCAGGCGCGTGTGCGTGCGTGCCCAAGATCCCGAGAGGAGAATGGAGGAGAAGGGATTGCGGCGTGACCATCCCCCCTGGGGGGTAATTTCTCACTTTCTGTCTCTATGTCTCTCTCTGTCTGTCTGGCGAGCGCACGCGCCCTACAGTGAAAATCTCCCCCCTCCCCCCCAAAAAAAAGTCAAGGGAAAAAAATTAAATCATTCTTAAAAAAACAAAAACAAAACAGTGGCTCCCAGGGAATGGGTAGAGGGGCCTGGGGAGATGGCATGTGAGGGGACGGAGCTTCCCTGTGGAGACAGATGTTGGTAACGGTGTCCAGCTCTGTGGGCTGCCTCAATGCTACGGCACTATGCACTGACGGACAGCCGTGGCTCAGACCTGCTATCTATCACGGCAGTGGGCGCAGACGGGCCCGCTGTACGACAGGGAGCTGGCAGCTGGGCTCTTCAGTGAGGACCCGGGGACACCTAGGCACACGTTTCAAATGCTTACACCTTCTTCCTGTCAACATACACCCCAGTGCCAAACGACGTGGCAGTCCCTTTCCTTCCTTTCTTGAGACTTTTGCTATAGGGTGTGTGCTCTTGCCAGAGAGAGAGACAGAGAGACAGAAAGTGAGAAATCACCCCCTGGGGTGGATGGCCTCACTACAACCCCTTCGCCTCCATTCTCCTCTTGGGATTTTGGGCATACACGCACACGTGCCTAGTGTGAGTTTCAAGCCACTGGGTTGGGGACTCGAACTGCAGTCAACTATATGGGAGTCCAGTGATGTAACCACCATGCCATCTGCCAGTCCCCAAAGTGCTGATTTTTGAAGTTGCACCTCTCCACCTTGGACTGAAAAGCATCCGCCCCACTCCTGGTGGAGTGGCCGGCCCTGGCCTGCAGCCCCTCCCCTGACTGTGGGAGACAGGCCGGTGGTGCCAGGGCTGCACAGAGCCCCAGGGCTCCTGCACATCGCCACGCTGGGTGCAGCTGCACTGGTCAGGGCCCTCCTCTCTGAGCAAGGACCTTATGTGAGCCTTCAAGCAACCACTGAAGACGCGAATGCAGCAGACCTGGGCAATTAGAAACAGCACAGGAAACCTTCAAGCTGAGCTCTTTTTGTTGTTTTTCGTTTTCAAAGGTTTTTGCTATAGGGCGCATATGCTCGCCAGAGAGACAGAAAGTGCACGCGCCCGGTGTGAGTTTAAGCCACCGGGTCTGGGACTCAAACCGCAGACTATGTGGGAGTCCAGCGACAAAGCCATTAGGCCAACTGCTGGTCCCTAAGCTGTTTTAACATGTTGCAGCCGCTAAGGTCTACATTCTGGGCTAAGGAAATTTGTATCTGACAAGTTTACTTTGTGAAAATTTTTCTATGAAAACCCAGCCAAACACTAATTACACTGTAGTGATAAGAAAGAATTAAAATAGCTCTAAATAAATTAAACCTGGTTTTCCCTGTATTCCGCAGTGTCTGCCTTCCTTCCAGGGCGTCCCTGGGGCTCGTTACCCCCACTCCCTCCTGTGGGTGGGCTCCAGGACACCTCTTTGCTCCAGGGCACACTCAGGGCCTGACCTCTCCGAGGCTGCCCTATACTTCTGCCAAGGTCCACTTAGCCCTGGGGGGGGTTTAGGCCCCACCCCAGTCACGTACTGCCCCTCAGGGGGGACGGCCCAGTACCCAGCCCTGAGGACAGAGCCTCCCACACGGAAGTTGGAGGAGATGCTTAGTGGCAAGGAAAGAGTCCCTGTTCGTCATTCTTTTCACCTGCGTTTTTGGTTTGGAATTATTTATTTAATTGCATTTGTTGTTATTATTATTTTTTAACTTGATAGAGGGACAGAGAAAGAGAGAAGGAAAGGGAAAGTGAGAAAGCAAGCCGTCAGGTCTGGGGCTCAAACCGTGGTCGGCATGTGGGGGAGTCCAGCCTTAACTAGCACACCACCTGCCGGCCCCTCGCCTGCATTTTAAACACTTTTTACTGTTTTCTTTTTTTTTTTTTTTTTGAGAGATTTTCACTGTAGGGCGCCTGCGCTCGCCAGACAGACAGAGAGAGACATAGAGACAGAAAGCAAGAAATCACCCCCCGGGGGGATGGTCACGCCGCAAACCCTTCTCCTCCATTCTCCTCTCGGGATCTTGGGCACGCACGCGCACGCACACGCGCCCGGCGTGAGTTTTAAGCCACCGGGTCCGGGACACGAACCGCAGTCGACTATGTGGGAGTCCAGCGACATAGCCATTACGCCAACCGCTGGTTCCCTTTACTGTTTTCTAACAGTTTTACTTGTGGCACAATAAGCCACCTAACACGCTTCATGAATTTGTGCGTCACCTCGTAGGGGCCAGCGCTAATCTCTGTGCCGTTCGAATCCTAGCACAGGTGCCTCTGAAGCGAGCGCCCGGGCCTGTGTTAGAACACATTCCACCATGGACGAGCATCAACTGCACGATGAAAAGGTTTCGAAGTACACAAATGAGCGGGCAGAGAACACGTGACTTAACGCCACCAACACACACTTCTTAAAACAAACTCCTCGGCCGGGCTCCCACATGCAGGACTATGGTTTGAGTCCCAGACTTGGAGGTTTGAAACTCACGCCAGGTGCCTGCCCAAAATACGGAGAGAATGGAGGAGAAGGGATTGCCAAGGTGGCCATTCCCGAGGTGGGGGGTGGGGGAGGGAATTTCTCAGTTTTTGTCTCTCTGTCTCTCCCTGTCTCTCTGGGAACGCGTGGGCCCTAGAGTAAAAAACAAAAGAACTCTTAAAAACAACAACAACAAAACTCCTGGGCTCTAGAACACAAAACGGGCCAACGGATTTTAGGAGAAAGGAGCTGGAGGGACCCTCGCCTCCGCCTCCGGGGTCTCAGGCTCCTGCCCCACTCACCGCTCAGGGTGAAGACCCTAGCTCACCAGGCTGGCCGCAAAGCCCGGACCTGGGACTCCAGAGGAGGACTTTCAGGGGTGTCTGTGGTCACCCTGCACGGTCTGAGCCCCAGGCCCTAGTCTCCCGCCAGCGCAACGTCACCGGTTTTAAGAGGGCACGTTACCGAGAAGCCAGGAGACGCCTGACCGAGTAGAACGCGCGTCCTGCCATCGCTCCCTGCCCTGCTGTGAGCGGAGGCTGGCGGCGCTGCCCTCCCCACCGCGTCCATTGGCACCCTGGGACCTGGGGCTGCGCCGCGGGCGGACCCCCGCCAGCTACCCGGACACCGTGCCAAGCACGTCCTGGCCACGATGAGACCCTCGAGAGGGTCCGGCAGGCCCGACTCCCCTTCCCATCTCATCCCGCGTCCCGGCTAGCTCTCAGATCCGGCCCCAGAGCCCGGGAGGGCACTCACCTGGGCCCGGCCGCTACGCCGCCGCCTGTTGCCGGGACAACGCCGCGCGGGAACGCGGAAACAGCCGAAGGTGAGCCGCGCGTGCGCCGAGGCCGCCCGAACCCGCTGGGCGGGGCGCGTGCGGCTGCAAAGGCCCGCCGCGGGTCCTGCTCGGCTGTGAAACTAACGATCCTGGCTGCGTCGGGGGGGCGAGGGCGGGGCCTGGGGTCCCGGCGCGCGGGG